GGGAAGCCCGGTGAGAGTGGGGCCCTCCCTCTTACCTCTTCAGGAACTTTTCGCGAAGAAACCCCCCCGCGCCGAGAAACCACCGATAGTACGAGCAGGACTCGGCCGAGAAACTGCGCCCTTGAGAGCGACTGCCGGCTCCGGCGGGAGAGGATTTGAGGATGGGGGATCCGGGACCTCGCGCTGCTAGCCAGGACCCGGAGTGGCGTGCCGGGGAAACACCGAATGATTTATCTTTACCCGGCCTAACGAAAGCCATACTGTACTGTAGGGAATTGCCTGATTCAGTGCACCTTGACTCAGAAACTGTTGCTTAATCCTGTAGGGCGGGGTCGCATGTCCCGTCAAGTACCTGTCCCTTGGCTTGTTGCTGAATGACACGCTGAAGGCGATTAACCTAGAATCTATCAGCACCTCTATCACAGAAACATGGTGCAGAAGCCTTACAATTGAATTAATTGCGCCTGCTGGTAATAACGCCTTTTCATAAGCTTGACAGCTTCACTTGTTGAGGGATCCTTCTATCAGAGCACTAGTTCACTTAGCAGCTTCAGCTGCACAACACGCTTTTGGCTGCTGAATAAACCTATCTTCAGCGTGCACACAATACATAACTTCATAAAAGGATTGGGTTGAAATAACACCCTAAGTTGCAACCCCCCCCCCTTTTTTTAATTCCCTATTCCCTAACTCCTGCTACTAAGTCTTTGACTGGATGAAGCTCTGGGGTTACCATGGAGTGCAAACACCATCAGAAGAGCTTCCCAGGCTACTTGGACTGGCTAGGGTTGGAAGGTGTGGGCAAAGCACAAGCTCTGTTGCTATGTAGTTCCTTCTGCCCTCTGGAATACATTGATGAGTATTCTTTAGAAAGTAGCTGTGGGAATGCCTTTTGCAATAGAAATGGGAAGAAATGGATTTATTTGGCAATGGTTTGGAAGCTCACTTTGTCTTCATGGTGTTGATCTGCAACTTTTCAGTAGCTAACTTGGGAATGTTTACATTACAGAATTTTATACCGTTTGGTGGTTTAATTTCTGTTTAATTAATGTCTGATTCTGTATTTACTGTATTGAAAGACCAGATGGCACTGGACAAAAAGTCTACAAGTTTTAATAGTTTGAGCCTGCCAAGAGAAATAATTCTGACCTTAAGAAATTTCTTTTTAAGTGTGTCATCCTGGAATTTAGATATCATCTTTCTGCCTCTGGATAAGATCCTCAATTAAATCTTGACATTAAAGCAAGTTCTTCAGATTCTCAAATGGTGTCTGATATTAATGAACTGATTGAAGGAGAACAAACTGATGCTTGATCCAGCTGATAAAAATGTTGTATATCACTGAAAACATCAGATTAAGAAATAATCTTATCTGTGCTGGACTGCCACCTTTCTTCTGCTCCACTTGATTAACTCCCATGTTTACCTATTGAGAAGCAAGAAGTAATCCTGGCATGTGTCAGGTCAGATCTAGATATTTTGGTTGACCTATCTTGAAATCCCTAGATCCATCGAAATAGGAATATCTTTTTTCTAGTTCTACTAATTGCTAAAGCTTTCAGATTAGTCTACTATAGCTTATTCCACATGTGCTGCAGTAATGTTTCAATACAGGTTTGCTTTAGGCTACAGGTGTTTTGAAACTTCAGCTGGTCACAAGTGCTGTGGCTGCAGCTACTGAATGCGCTGGTCATATGCTTCCTCTACAAGCAATGCCAGTGTCTGCCAACCTGTTTCTAGGCAACAATCAAAATATTGGGTATAAACCCTTTTATTACACAGGACTTTTATATTATTGCTAGCTGTCTTAAATGCCATTTTTGAAGGGAAAGCAAAATGTAAATGAAATCCACCTTTTCCTTGGCTTCCTTCAGTGTTGTACAGTAATGGCTCTTGGGCTCAGCTTGCAGAGTAGCCCAGTTCTCTTCTGTCCAGATAACAAACAAGAGACTTGATTATCTTCAAATCAGAATTATTTCCTGCTACAATATGTAAGAGTGCTAATTTCTGCACAGCTACTATTTTGCTGGCTATGATGCGTCTGCTACAAAACCTGTTTTAAAAAAAAAAAAAACCAAGCAGAGCCACCAGGAGAATACTCTGCAGGGTTGTTATATACCAATCTTCCTTCCCCAATGGATATAACTAGGATATCTTGTAATACTGTGTAACTCATGTTCTCCCAACTGTTTTTTGCAAAGGGTGTTTCATAATGGATTTGATTTAGATGCATTGACAGGAGTATATTTGAGATATATATTTGAGAATATATATATTTGATACAGATATTTGAGGATAGACAGATATATATATCCTCAAAAATCACCAATATTTAAAGTAAAATTGAATAAAAAGTACTATTGACCTTAGTCTCTGGTCCTAGCTTTTGGATTTGTTTTATTTTGTTTTGGAGGAGGGCTTGCTAAATTTATGTAACACAGAAAAATTGTTGGAAAAAAAACAATTTGTCTGATTGTTTGTTAAATGGAACAGCAATCAATCACTTTTCATTAGGACAAAATGAACCAGGAACTTCTTCCAGTACTTAGTCACTGTTAGAACTTTTCATTCATTGGCTAAACGTTTTGAAAAGAAGGACAGGGTTTTTCCACAATTAAAGAGATGATTTACTTTGTGTCAGGTTCTAGAAAGAATAGAAATAAATTCCTTCTTTTAAATGAGAGCTTTTAAAAGCTACCTGTTATTTTCTAGTTATGTTTCATATATGAGTGTTGTTTAACACTGTGTGTTAAACTATGCACAGATTTTTCCCCCATTGGTTGTGCCCTCAATATCCGAGAATGAGCATTATTTGGGCTTTGCACCTCCTAAGAGCAGAATTCTTCTATTATTCATTAAAGCAGCCCATACTTTTTCAGGTTTCCACATGAGTTGACTTGTTAAAGCAGCAACTTTTCTTTCAAATTCATGCAGAAATCTGAAAAAAGCATCTGTATGCTTTAGTGAACAGCATACAGATGCTTTGCTCATGTAAGTTCTGAAGCATTTCTTCCAAATCATTTTTAAGTGTGTTCTGCCTAAGCAATTATAAAAAAAAGACTGAATGCATAAAAATAAAACAGCTGAAATTTGTGCACTGTAAATTGAGATGTCTAGGGAAATCAATCACAATGTGTTTTTAACTTTTTATTTCAGATTTTCTTGATTTTAATCTTTTTGTGGCAACACGATATGTGTTCTGGCCTGTTGGAGAACTATGTGGCTGCCATGGTGTTGAGTGCAGCTGGAGATGCCTTAGGGTTTTGTAACAGAAAATGGGAATTCCAACGCAGTGGTGAGAAGATTCACAACGAAGTGGCCAAAATGGGTGGCGTGGGCCATCTCAATGTAGCAGGCTGGAAGGTCAGTGATGACACCATCATGCACTTGGCTACTGCTGAAGCCTTGGCTGCTGCTGGCAAAAACCCAGACTTACTCCACTTGTACAAACTCCTTGCAACAAACTACAGAGACTGTATGAGCGACATGGCTGGACGAGCTCCAGGTACACTTTCAAAATGCTTCCACAGGAAGGAGTAGAATAGTATTTCTCAAACGTCTGAACTCTTAGAAAGGCTCCATTTGCAACTCTGTTCATTGGCCCCGGTTTTATAATTCCTGCTTTAAAGCAGTAGTAGTTAACCATAGGCCCTACTGCTGCTGGTAACCTACTTTTTGTGGCCTCCAGAGCCATTCCTGGCTGTAATTACTGAAAATTACTTGTATGCTTTAACAGCCACAGCACATACTCAGTTTATTTTTTCCCATCAGGTTTTATTAGAGGGACAACACCATGGCGCTCCAGTTGGATTGGAACAAACACCCCCACTGTGTCAGGGTACCGAGTATGTTGATTGAGAATAATGGGACTTATAGACCAACCTATCTGGAGAGTAGTAGCTTGTTGAAGATTGGCAGGGGGATAAGAAAGAAGGAACCCAAAACATAAAATTGTGGCAGCAATACCTATTCACCTACTTCCTTTTTTGTTTGCTTCCCTGAAGAATTCAGGATGGCATAAGCTTCTTCAGAGCTATCCAAATTCTCAGTGTATTCCCCAGTCATAAATCTCTAAGCTACCAAATTATTTGGCACCTAAGGTGGAACATTCCAGAGTCTTTTTTCTCTTTCTTGTATTAAAATACCGTGCAATAATAACAGCTGAAATAATAGTCCACTGTCTTTTTATACAGTATACCCCAAATCTGCTGTGTGAGACAATCACCTGACCCTATATAATAGGAAGAGCAGTTCTCCCATTTTAATCTTCTACCCTGTGTAGTAGGCTAAGGTGAGATCTATCCAAAGATTTACTCCATTACTCAATCTTCCCTCCTTGTATAGTTAGCAATTTCTGTTCCTTGCATAACAGCTCCTTCTCTTAATCAGGATATGGCACCATCTCCAAACAATTCCCACCTAAAGGAATGTTCATCTCTCCAGTCTATCCATAGAACATGTCAAATGGTGATTCAAGTATATTGTGGCATTTCCCTTTTCCATCAAATATACTGAAGACCACTGGAAAGCTTTGGCTGGTCCAGAATGCAGTGGTTTGTGTAGTGATGAGAGTCTATTTTCTCATGCAAAGTCTCTACTGTGAGAGCTACACTGTTCACCGGTTCCCTTCCAGATGCAGTTCTAGGTGTGGTGGTTTTCTTGAAAGCCCAACATGGCTTAGAATATCTACTGGACCACCTTCTCCCAAGTATGACTGGAAAGGGGGCTCTTTCTGGGTTCCTTTGGCCACCATGTGGATGAGTCTTCTCAGGTGTGCTTTCTCCTTCTGTGGAACAGCCTTCTTCTCAAAATAAGTTTGGCTCCCACCCTGTTGGTTTTTCAGACAGCTACTAAAAGTTGGTTATTCTGGAGGCCTTGGGAATAGATTTGTGACGAGGGAGATCTTCTTGCTATAAGTTTGGATGCTGTTGGCTGCTCCTAAGAGCACTGCTGTTTTGTTCTGCTATTTATTTTATTGTGGGGGGGGGGTTACTCTTTTATAAGCTGATTAGAAGCTTTTTTTGGAGAAAAGGGATATATAAATTTAAATAAATAAAATTTCTGTTCAGTAAAACCCGAAAAACAGTGTTAGGTTCACACATTGCAGGAAGCCAAACTCTGGATTCTTGGGTTTGGAGTGAACAATTGTGGCAGATAAACCATGATTTGTGACTTAGCAGAATATATCACTATAGCCTTAAACATATGGGAACTTAGCCAACATATATGAGAATTTTTGCCCACTTGGCAAAGACCAAAGTGGTTGGGAAAAGACCTATAAATTCCTATTAAAAAAAGTATTTAAAGCCAACTGAGGTTCACATGAAGGACCCATGAACATCCATGTATTGTTTGAGTCCCACTTCCATCAGCTCTTGACTATTTGCTGTTCTGTCCCAGATTACCTCAGTGGTTGGATTAATCTTCAGTGCTTAGAAAGGGAAATTTGGGAAGTATAGATTAACTGATCTTTCATGCTGTACTTTCATGTGGTTTTCTACAGATCTTTGAATTAATTTTTTTTAAGCAGCAAAATATTTCAGGTGTGCCAAAGATTTCTGGCTCAAGTCTTACCTTCACTCATGCTAGCAGTTCTCCAAAGCAAGGGTATACTTTTTTTCAGGCATAAATAAAATAAGAAGAAAAGGGAAGTGCATAGAAAATCAAATGAATTAAACACAATCTGATTGGTCCCTAGATTATGAATAAAGTTCCTCTTCTGTTTTCCTCTTGTGACTCATTAAGGTACAGAATGTGGTGGCTACTTGTAGAGGGCCTCTGGGAACACCTAAAATCTAGTGGCCTCAGGTTGTGCACTACAGCTATAGTTTTTAGGCAAGGAGTATTTCCCGGACATAACTGAGGATAGGTTGGATTAGAAACCTTCTTGTGCAAAGTATCTCTGCTGTACCAGTGACCCACCATTATTCCCCCTGAAAACTTCCAAGTTAGGCTGAAATACAAAGGGCACTTTTAAATGACTTTTAGAAAATGTCCATGGTTGGGGCTTCTTGTAGTTGCTTGTGGTATAGCTTGGGGGCTTTTTGTTGTTGACTTATACAACTGTGAACCACCTTACTGTTTTACAAGCCTGAAACTCTGCAAATCATAGGGATTTTCCCCTTCTGGAGAAGGCATAGGGAAATTCCTTCTCCTGCCCTGACCTTCAGAAAAGCTTGCAAAGTAACCTTGTTGTTCTGTAATCTCTTGGTGCTAGGTAAACGCTCATCTCCAGGATCAGAATACATTAGTGAGATTAACTTATTTAAAGAAGCATTTTTCAACCTAAAAATTATATATTTTTCTTTTTTAACAGAAGACTACATGTTATTGAATTAATTCACCTTCTCCTTCCTACAAAGATACATCAGATATAGCCTTCAACTCTTAAGAGTTACAGAACTGCCAGTGGTCACACAGGGGTAGTGAGCTTGACTCTGCTTAATGCAGACATCTACATTAAAACATGTCCAGCTGATGCATGTCCAGTCACTGTTTAAACATATTCAGTTAAGTGAAGCCCACCACCTAAGTAATTAGTTTCACTGTTAAACTGCTCTCTAAAATGGCTTTCTGTAACTTACATCATTCTCTGTTCTGCACTCTAAGATAACAGAGGTCTTGGTTTTCTTGTGTGAACCATGCCGTCCTGTGATTTTGAAAACCAGATCTCCACTGTATCATAGCTAAGATTCCATTCCAGTCCTGTATTCTTCTTCCCACCATTGAAACCAGAGCCTGTCAGAAGGCCAATAACTCTCTCCCATGCAGATTTTTAGCAGCTGGTATTGGGAGATGGACTGCTTCTATTCCCAAAAGATACTTTGTATTTCTTTGTGGTTCCTTGTTGCTATGCTTAAAGTTCTTTGTATTTAGTGGAACCGAAAAACATGTTCATTAAAAATATGGAAAGAAAGACATTGACAAGTAATCCTTTCCTCCATTATTTTTCAGTACCGTTAGCTTCCTACCCTTTCACCAGGGATAATATTGTGAGATATTTAAAGCCTATTCTGGTGGATTCATAAAATCATAAGGTTGGAAGGTACCTTGGAGAATTTGTACTCCAGATCCCTGCTCAGAGCAGGAATCTTCAGACCATCCCAGACACTCCAGCAGGCAGGCTATTCCATCTTAATAGCTCTCACAGTCAGGAAGTTGCTTCTTATTTCAAGTTTGGATCTCTCTCTCTCACACACACACACACACACCTCTCTCTCTCTCTCTCTAACATCCACCCATCAGTATTTGTCCTACTCTGGGCACTACAGAGAATATATTCATATCCTCTTTCCTGTGGCAACCCAACTATTGGAAGACTTGCTAAGCAACAATTCCAGAGCAGTGCTAACGGCCTCTAAAATGGAAAGAACTCTGATTATTGTGCTTTTAGCATTACCAGTCACACCTTAATTTTAGCTGGGTTTGGATGTTTGGGGACAAAACATAGGCGAGACTATTGCCTCCGTGTTGTTTCTTTCTGGAGAAATTTTGCTGGGAGCATTTGGAAACTTGATGAAGGGCTAACACTGACTAAAGAACTGATTCGGCAGAGTTATCCTTACATTTTTAAACTCATCTCTAAAGTGGTCACAACACAATTAAAATGTTTATACTGATTCTCTGCATTTTCATTTAGGATATTCACAGCATACCACACTGGAGATATTGCACAGCTTTGGGAAGAGTTCAAAAAAGTGAATTGTTTTCTTCTAGGTTTAGTACATGCATACTTTGATTTACATTTAAAAGGTTTCTCATTCATTGACATATTTTGGTTCATATATATCCTGTATGTTTTGTGGGAATTAGGTCCCACAACACTCAGTGTGGCCTATTTTTATATTAAGTATACATCTGATTATATCCTTAGATGGTTTATTATTTTAATTAGACTTTTTGTAATTATTACATTATCTGCTTCTTCAACCTACTTGTTTTACCAATGTTGTTAATGCTGTTCAGATTTATGAAAATTGTTCAGTTTTCAGTTTCACAGTGGTAAAACATAGCCTTCTTGTATAAAACATAGGCTTTTGTACACTTGTCCACTTGTACAAAAGAGGTGGGGTTTACATTAAGATGGATTGCCAGTTTTGACTCTCTCGTTGCAAGCAGAGTTCTCTTTAATAGTTCAGTACTTTCCAAAATACTGAAGAACTGCTAATTTTGTGAACTAGGCTTTCCTATTCTGTGTTCTTAAAATGTATTGGGAGTGCAGCCCTCATCTTCAGGCAGCACTGGCTAGGTTGACTAAGGATGATGGGTCTTGTAAGAAAATGTATTTGGAGACACCCAGTGAGGACACTGTTTCAATTTTACATTGTATAAAGAGACAGGCATAGCAAAAGGTTATTCAGGGAGGATTTTTCTGATAATGGTACTAAATCATTTGGAGAGGTACTAAGCTTTTGGAAATGATGGGTCTAAGCTCCATTTGTAGTTTTTAATTTTATTGTTTTTGCTGCCTACTTAACAAACATGTTTGGTTCTGATACAGTGTTCCATCTTTCATAGGTAATACCTGCATGCATTATGCTCTGAATTTGGATCCAGATGACCCAGATAGCTGGAAACCTAATTTCTGTGAAGGAGGCGGCGGCTGTGGAGCTGCCATGAGATCAATGTGCATTGGACTGAGATTTTGTCATCCAGAAGACCTGGAAACATTGATTACAATCAGTATTGAGAGTGGACGAATGACTCACCATCATCCTACTGGTTATCTTGGATCCCTGGCGTCTGCTCTCTTTACTTATTATGCCGTGAACCACAAACCACCACAGGAGTGGGGAAGAGGACTAATGGAGGTGATCCCTAAAGCAAAGGCCTATATCCAGAAGTCAGGCTACTTCGTAGATAAAAATTTGGAGCATTGGTAAGCATGGGTATTTGTGATTTTAATAGTTTGAAGGTTTTAAGCATATCCGGTAGCTTTAACTACATAGTGCTGAGCAAGCATTAAGTGTATTCTATCCAGACAACCAGCATAGATACTTTGGAATAAAAAGATAATGTATGAGTGGTATACACACCTTTCTTATTTGAGCTCTCAAACTAGAGAGCTCAAGGGAGCTCCAGAATAGAGGGGGAAGGTAATGGGCAATGCCCAGTTACACTACTTTCAGTGCTGATCTGCATATCTTTCCAGACATTATTTGATAACCTGTGCCTCAAAGCCTTCTAATTACAGTGCATTCGGAAAGTGTTCAGACCCCCTTCACTTTTTTCAATCTTGTTATGTTGCAGCCTGATACT